CCCACCTCTATCATGGAGCCCAGCGTCATACTCGCTCCCTTCCTCCCACTCCCAGATTGTAGGTGGCAGAGAAAAACCTGTCTTATGGGCAGCAATGGCAGGCAGCACATTCAAAGGTAAGATGACTTCTGCTACATTTGGACCAGATGCAGAGAAGTTGCTGCAGCAGTCCAAGAAAATTGCTGCTGGGCATTGACCATGTTTTGTTGCTTTCAGAGGCCTTGGCTGGAGGATTTTTTAGAGACAAGATAATCACCGGCAAAGAAGAGGAGGATACTTAGGTTTAGGGGTCCTCAAAGCACCTGCCTCCCCCGAGACAGTCCCCAGAACCTGGCCAGCCAGAATCTCTGGCTCCTGTGGCTGTGATTCCCAATACCACTGTATAGCTTGTGGGATTGTGAGCTTGCATGCCCAGTGGAATTTGTGCTGAGCACAGACCCCACGTCGGCTAACAACTGTAAAAAAGCTCTGTTCCAGCCCGGTCAAGCCAGAGTTCCTTGACACAAAAAAGGCGTTCATTACGGCTGTGATTTCTGTGAAGCGCATTGTTTGCGGGTTCTTAAGCTAACGCACTAGGTGGGATCCTTACTGAGTGCAGGTGAGGGCACTGTCCTCTGCCCATGTTGGCATCTCGTGTTCTTTCCAGCTCATGCTGGCGCTTGAGCTTCTGGGTCACTACTCGTGTGGTTGACCTGTCGACTCACTGAGTAATTCCGTTCTTTCTGTCTTTTTGACCTTTTTATCGCTTTTTAAAATCTTTTTTCACTGTTTTTTAACACAGGATGGTTTGGATTATTTGGACTTGTTTTTTTTAATATAGGAGATTTTGCAACTTTGTACACTTTGTTATTATTCAGTTGGCATGGCAACAAGCCACATGCTACATACTCCAGGGACTTCCTGCTACAGCTTCAGCTTCACGCTAACCAAGCGTCTGAAGTAGATATAGGGAAGCTTTCAGAGGATGTACTACGCGGTCAGTCATCCAGCTATGCCTTGGACACTCACAGAAAGAAGAAGACCCGGAGGGGAAAAAAGAAAAAGAGCGGAGTGAACGCCAGACTCAAATGGGAGTGAGGTAAACACCAGCCACTTCCCTCCATCATCCTGGCCAATGTGCGTTCATTATGCAACAAGACAGACGAACTTCGAGCTAACTCAGCGTATATGCACGAATACAGGACTGCTGCAATTTTGGCATTCACCAAAACCTGGCAAAGCAGCAATGACAGTCACAGTTCTTTGCATATAGACGGCTTTGGGACACCAGTAAGGCTCGACCGTGACAGTCAGCTGACAGGCAAGAAACATGGTGGTGGTGTATGCCTGTATGTTCACAAACGGTGGTGTTCTACTGTGATAGTGAGGGAGAGTCTGTGCACCACGGACATTGAACTCCTGGCTGTTTCCTTCATCCTTTTTAACTTCCTAGGGAATTCCCCCAGCTATTGTTTATCCTGGTCTACATCCACCCTAAAGCAAAGGCAGCTGCAGCTTCAGACCACATCAGGACTGTGCTTAAGAGATTGGAACATGTCCCCTGACTCTCCAAAATTAGTCCTTGGTGATTTTAACCACTGCAGTGATGGTACTACATTTTAAAAAGGTTTTTATCAGTATATCATCTGTACCACTCGCATGGGTAAAACTCTTGATCCGTTTCTAATGCATATAAATCTGTTGCCCTCCCACCACTTGGATCTGCTGACCACACCACTATTCTGCTTGCACCAGCCAATGTGCTTGTTGTGAGGAGAGCAGAGAAGGTTGTTAAAAATGTCAAGTGTAATGTATGTGTAGCGCCCCCTAGCCTTACCTAACTGATGAGAACTACGCTTAAGGACGCTAACATTCACCTAGGTTCGGGAATGGTGACCTGGAATTATCTTATTGACTCACGAGGAGAGAGTAGACGTGAAGATGAACAGTGACAACCTTTATTGCCTCAGCAACAACATGTGGCAATGCAAATAGATGGGAAAAAAAATAAAATATATATAGCATACAAAGTAGGGCTCTCTCAGAGTACCACAGAATCTAACTAATTAAATAAAACAAGGTTCAAATAAAAGTGTCCTCTCTGCGAGAAGTCCTCCTTTAATAAATGAAAGGTCCAAGTTTGCTTTCCCTTAGCTGTAATTCTCCTTTAAGGGAAAGGAGATGAAGTTTCCTTTGACTTGTTGTGTACACACTGTTCCTAACACTACCCGGGTAGTTTTAATGTGTTAGTTCTTATCTGGTTCCTGAATGAGTGGAATGAGTCGATGGTCCTGATGTCCTCTGAGGGTGAACCCACGGCTGGCCACACCGTGGTTCCGGTCCGTCCACAGTCTATCGTCTCTTGGGTTGGCTCGCCACTGAACCCGAAAAGGTTCAGATTCTGAATGATCCAATCCTAGTCTAAAATCAAATAAAAAAA